ACCCAGGCAGACCTGAACTGTTTGAAGCACATAGACGCTCAGGAGGGCCTGGGGTGGGCACCGTTCACATTAACTCTGCAAGTGGGGACATACCCAGGAGGGTTGGCTACATCTGTGGCCCACTCCTGTAGAAAAAGGAAGGGGCCAGCCAGTCAGTGTAGAATAAGAGCTTTTGAGTCTGTCTTAGTTGGGGTTTTATTGCCGTGAAGAGACGTCATGACCGTGGCAACTCTTATAAACTCTTATGTGTAATTGGGGCTGGCTTACAGCCTCAGAGAGTTAGTCCATCATCTTCATGGCGAGGAGCACAGTAGCGTGCAGTTAGACACGTAGAAGCTGAAGAAGGAGCTGAGAGTTCTACTGATCTGTAGGCAGCGGAAGGGGACTGTCTCACAGAGTGTAACTTGAACATATGAGACTTCAAAGCCCACCTCCACAGTGACACACTTCCTTCAACAAGGCCACACCTACTCCAACAAGGCCACACCTCCCTATAGGCCAAGCACTCACACACATGCGTCTATGGGGACCATTCCTATTCAAACCACCACAGAATCTGACCCCTGGGGTAGGCTGGAGTCAACTAATTTCATCTTTCATTTGTTCCTCAGAGACTTTCCTTTGACAGAGTTTTGCTAAGGCTGAGAACGTGGGTTTTACCTCTAAGCCCTGGGGTACAATGTTAAAGGGACCTGTCCTATTTTGCATGTATAGTTATATGGTATATGTTAACACAGCATCAAACCAGGTAAAGTAAGAGAACGATGCAGATGGCTGCAGGCGGGTTCCCTGTCCTCCACCAGTTAGATCAGACACTCGCGCTAGGACTCAGCACCCAGCTCTCACTGAGGGAGTCCACAAATGCCCCTCCTGTAAGAACAGGGCAGTCCTCTGGGAGCTGTTGTTAACATCACTCTTCATGCTCTTCTGACGTTTCAGTTGCCCATCACATGAAATCCTTCCCTGAAATGCGTGGAACCAAAAAGGGCTTGCATGTTGGATTTGCGAGAATTTGGGAATATTTGCACCCATATGACAAAGTCTTTGAAGCATGAAACCCAAGTCAAAACAGGAAAGGTATTTATTTCCTATACATATAGCCTGCAGGAAAATGTAAAGATTTATTGTATTCTCTATCATATGCGTGTGTGTGTGTGTGTGTGTGTGTGTGCGCGCGCGTGTGCTCATGAGGGCAGCAATTTTATCCAATACTGTCAGCATGCCTGCCTTTTTTTATTTTATTTTTTCCTTTTCTTAATTGCAGCCTGTCATAGGAAGTCAGGTGTGGCTTCTTCTGCTTGTGGAGCCACACTGGCCCTTAACTGACCTGTCATGTTGGAGTTCAGGTTTTGGGGGCAGGGGTGGTGACCGGCTCACTTGGGCCAGGATATAAGGTGGGGAAGGGGGGTAAATGCTATAATAATTTAAGATTCCAATGAATTCTATTTTAGAATTACTTCTTTTAAATCCGGAATGCTATTGGCATTCCAGGCCACATTTTGCGCCTCAGCTGTTAGAAGAGGCACACCCTTCAGCTGCATGCCACGCCCACATCTGTGGAACAGCAAACTCCTGGAAGCTATTTCCACTGTAGTCTTTGTGCAAGATGCAATAGTTTGCTAACATTCACATAGGTCCTAATTGTTTGTGTTTGTACATGTGTGTGAACATACATGCACACACACAAACACAGGCACACATGTATACACAAAAACTCTACTGGCTTGCATCCTTCCCAGAAATAAGAGCACCTGAGGAAGATTCCAGAAGATTTCAATACAGCTCGGACAATGAGTTAAGAATATACGATTAGCTAAACAGTTCAAAGAAGAAACTGCCCAGAAGCCATGAGCCTCAAGGGCAACCTTGATACCAATCACTAACATGTAAACCCAGGCCAGGTGGTGGTGGTAGCTCTCAGGAGGCAGAGGTAGGCGGATCTCTGAGTCTGAGGCCAGCCTGGCCTACAGAGTGAGTTCTGGGACAGCCAGGGCTACACAGAGAAAGCCGGATTTGAAAAACAAAAACAACAACAAAGTAAGCACAAGTGAACTGAAAGGTGCTCCCAGCTGAGAGGCAACACTATCTACTGTCTCAAAATGCAGAGAACTGTATGCAGGCAAAAAGGCCTCCCTCCTGGTGGTCTAGTCCGAACTTTGGAAGAACCAGGGTGATCTCATGACAGATATTGGATTTTACATCAAGCTTTGATTGACAACAATCTAAGATAAAACAAAACAAAACAAAACAAAAAAACTAAGCCTCCATTTTGCTCATAAAATTAATAAAACACGGAGAGGAAGAGAAAGACGAATAAAAGATTGGTTTCACCTACATGTAAAATAAAGGCATGTAAGTTGAAAAAATAAATAAATAAAAGGAGGACCAAGAAGGGGCTGGAAAAATGGTTAAGAGACTTGCTGCTGTTGCAGAGGACCTGGGTTCAGTTCCCAGCACCTATTATCAAGAGATTTATACCACCAGGAACTCCAGCTCCAGTGATCTGATGCCTTCTGGCCTCTATGGGCCAGCTTGCAGGTGAGACACATAATTTTTCTCTCTCCCTCCCTTCCTCCCTCTCTTTCTCTCTCTCTCACACACACATACAATGAACAACTCAATCTTCGCTTAAAAGACTTAAGTCTTCAGAGGTCGAGCCTGTCTGTGATCAACAGTGGCCCAAGAAGGTTCTAGAGAAGGAGCAAGAACCAGGGCCTAGGTTAAGCGGCAGTTCTCAACCTTCCTAACACTGTGACCCTTTAACACAGTTCCTCGTGTTGTGGCAACCTTCCAGCATAGATTTTGTTGCTTTGTAACTGTAATTTTGCTGTTATGATTATGAGTCATAATAGAAATATCTGTGTTTTCTGATGGTCTTAGGCCACCCCGTGGGGAAATGGTCGCCACACACAGGTTAGGAATTGCTGGGTTAGAGGAAGGGCGGAATGGGACATGTATTAAGAAAGGATGGCGTGGGCTGGGAAGATGGCTCAGTAGCCAAGAACGCTTGCTGTGCAGGCCTCCTCGGAACACCTGGGGCCTCGCTGGCCAGCTAGCCCAGTTGAAAGTCAGCAACCTCCAAGCAAAACTGACCGGAAGCCACCCTCAGTTTCCTCAGACTCGGCCCATTCACAGCATGACCACCTCGTTAATCACAGCTCGGAGCAGGCTTAAAGAATTAAGGCACAACAGAAAATAAAGCCGCAGCTGAGAGGTATGACCAAAGGCCTGCTTGTACCTGCCTCCAGGAGACTGCAGTCATCTCCTCCTTCCTGAAGCAGCCAGTGACTTTCTTGGACTTGGGAGAAACAGCTGGAACTGGGGGCGATGTGTGTGTGTGCGCACGGTATGTGTGTGTAGGGGGGGGAGGTGACATTTAACCCCAAGCAAAAGGGAAGCCTTCCTTCCTCCAGTGCGCACCTCCTTCTCTCCCGTGGTCACACGAAGCCCTGGTGTTAAGTGGTCACATAGGGAGGCTCTGGGTGATGTTAACTTCCCTTCCATTTCCCACCAGCCAAATCCCACTTTAATTGGCTTGTCTCTTAATTGAAATAAGTGATCCGCTGAAAATGGCCAAGGAGCCCCCCTCCCCCTTTCAGGAAAGCAAACTACCCATAAGGCCTGCCTGTTTGCTTTGCTATTCAATATTCAAGGATGGATCTGTAGAACTTAAGTGATGGTATTCCCCTTGGGATAGAGTATAAACATGAAGCCTTTCCTGCATGGGAAACGTGACTCTCACCAACCCAGCCGCCGCCGCCGCCGTTAGACTCCTTCAAAGCGACGTTAAGGTGTGTCCTTCACACATTTAGACAGGAGCAGTGGTTCTTCCGCTTAATTGTCGGCTCGAGACAAAAGCACACTGCACCAACTTCAGCAGGAGACGTGTGCATTAAATTACTTCCGAAACTCCCCGAGGAATATGGCTTGCAGGTTTGGGATCGCATGACAATTAAGCAATAACGAAAGGGAACTCGGTGCCATTTGATCAAATAATGTGCTAATCCTAACACACACCTCGTGTCCCTTTATCCACTCTCCCGGAATGTTGACTCTTTCCGGTTAAGTCTGACTTCTCCTTCCCCAGCAAAGGGACACAGAGGTACAGAGAAAGGAGCCTGGCGGTGTGCATCAGTGTAAGACAATGGAAGGGAGGTTGCCTGGGAAGGCCCTGATAAGGGCTCAGCTTCTCAGAGCAAAGAGAAAAATCCCGGGGGGGTTTCAGGGAAGGGGCTTCTCACTTTTCAAAGTTCGGCGCCCTACTCGAGGCATTTTCTAAAGATAACCTACATTCCATACGCACCCCAAATTCATGAGGCCACAATCCAAATTCGCTGAGCCTGCTCCCTTGGGCAGGGCCAGGGTGTAAGATACTTAAGACCAGAGATCACTAAGCAATTGGCAGTACATCCAGGCCCTCGGGGGAGGTTTCTGAGAGTAAGTTTTCCAAGCTCTTTAGAAGTATTTATATACACCTAGCATGCCATTAATCATTCTTATCTGTTCATTAAAGCTGTCTCCCTCAGGACCTCGGCTCGCCAATCCTTTCTCAGCTTGGTTCTCTTTCTTTTTTTTCTTTTTCTTTTCTTTCTTTCTTCTTTTTTTAAATCTATATACCCGAAGTGTGGCCTGTTTCTTTTTAAGACATATTTTGTCATTAAAATACTTCACCAGTTCATGTGGGTGTGCCCCCATTAGTCTGAATTTGTGGAGTCTTACTAAATACACAGGAAGACCAGTCCTAGGAAGGTCTTTGTGGAAAGCTGAACGCGCAGTGAAAAAGCCCGGTTTGGGGGCTGAGCTTCCACTGTTGAGAGGTTTTGGAGCCACAGCCCACCTGTGACAATGCTTGTTGCCTCCTCCTCTCCCCTACCAAAAAGGGAATGCAGTTTGACTTTACACTGTGTTCTGATTGACCTGAAAGTGGGACAGAAATCAAGCGCTGGAGCGCAGAAGACCACTCTGTATGAGAAGTTACGTCAGCAGTTCCGGGACCATACCTCTGCCTGTGGCGACTCTCCCAGAACCACATCCGGGCTTCTGCCGGCTCCTTGGTCCATCCATCCTAGCACAGCTGGCAGGGAAACCCCAAGCAGAGCAAGGTGTGGCCAGAAGCCTCCCGGCTTCATTTTGTCCAGTCTGTTGAGAAAACGACAAAGGCTCGGTGAGGAAAGCAGGAGGAAGTCACAGCAAGTCACTCGGGAGTTCATGCACATACAGAATCAGGTTAAGCTAAGGGGCCAGGCAGATGGCCGGGTTCGGGACCCACACAAAAATCTGGGCATGGCAGTTTGTATCTGTAATTCCAGTGCTGGGGAGGGGGAGAAAAGCAAACCCCAGAGACTCAATGGCCCCTCTAATTGCCTAACTGGTGAGCAGGAGCCAATGAGAAAAACTCTTTCTCTCTCAAAAAAAAAAAAAAGACTATGGATGGCTGGCGAGGAACCACACCTAACGCTGAATTTGGCTTCCATATGCACACGAAACTACACATGTGATGTGTGCAGACACACCAAAGAACCATGTTAATGTAAGCATAACACACAGTGCAAACTTTTCTGTCTCACTTAGGAGAAGTTACATGACTTCGGAGCCTCAGTTTACCATCTCTAGAATGGGGACTGGATTATGGGCCTCCATGGGGAGCTGGCTCCAGGCACACAGTAGGACTCTGCAAATGTAAGCCGTTAGATAGTATCCCACTTGAAATGCCACCAACCACCACATCTGTAAGGACGGCCAGGGTGAGTCGGCTGAGTCACAGCTACTGGGCCCATCCGTGCCTCAGTTTCCTGAGAAAGCACTTGGGCCTATTCACACGAAGCCTAGGAAGTGCTGGTGAGGACCTGGAGAGGTGACCCAGCAAGTAAGGACACTTGCTGCTAAGCCAGACTACCTAAGTTTGATCTCCCAACACTGACTTCTGCAAGATGCCTCACGGTGGCATGCATACCCCGCCCCCACAAACATGTAATAAATAAATAAACAAACACATTTAAGGGAACGTTGCTAAGGAATAACGTTAAGGGTTTGGCCAGCTCCTCTGGATCCTACACCTCGGTGTACAAAATGATGAGCTTCAAAACAGCATCATAAGGTCTAGTCTTTTCACTTTCTCAGCGGAATCTAAGCAGCCCATACCAGTGACACCCCATAACCCGGAAGTTGTTTCCTAGAGTAAAAACAAAGGGGCAATTCAAGGGGACCAGAAAGTTAAGACCTGCATGGAGGGGACACTGAGGCACAGGTGTGAGCCATGCTTAAGAGACCTCAGGTACTAAAGCTCTGTGCTTATGGAGTGAGGACAGTAGCTTCACTTTAAAATTATTTTGTATTTAGGGGTGTGTGTGTGTGTGTGTGTGTGTGCGTGTGTGTGTGCTTGTTGCGGGGGGGGCGATATGTTGGAGGTCAGAGGACAACTTGCAGCAGTTATTTCTTTCTTTCTACCACATGGATCCTGGGGATCAAAAGCAGGTCACCAGGCTTGGTGGCAGGTGCCTTTACCGCCTGAGCCATCTCGCTGGCCCACCTGCTTGCTTTTTTTTTTATGGTATTTACCTGCAGGCTCTCCATGCTACCTCTTGACCTTGCCCACAGGGATAGAGACACACAGGCCTCTTTAGAGGCCAGCACCCCAGATGAGCTGGTCTGGGGACTGGGTGACAGCTGGCGTCTGCTCTGAGACACCGTGTAGCTTGAAGAGTCCCATCCTTCTGCTCAAGTCGACAACGTTGGGCAACTCCCGCCCTGGACCTCAGCCTTTTCAACTGTGGGTCACAACCTCAAAGGGCCTTAGGTGGTTTTTCCTTTTGGGGGGAGGGGGTTAGGGAGTAAAACTTGGGTAACGGTAGAAATGTAGTAAACAGTGACATACAGGACCAACAATTGATTAAAAAGCAAATGCAAAATGAATCCAAGGGGTCTCTGGCGATGCTCACCCGTGTCCCGTCTTACCACCCCATGGCAGCCTTGGCTCTGAGCACACTTTGGCTTTGCCTCACACATGTCATGTGACCCAACATACTATAGCTGAACGCTGCCTGCAACACCTTGGCTCAGATCCACGACTACTGCGGGCTCTGAACCACAGGGTTTCACAGAGCACACCAAGTTTTCTGCTCTTCCGGAAACATAATGATTTGATTATAGCGGGCAGAATCTCTTAATATTTTTCTACCATCATTTCTCAGCATGTAAGTATCAAATGAGAACATATATTTGGATGGTATTGTGTAAGAATGTTTGATTTTTAAAATTGCTATTTGAGTTGCTGGCTGGAATTTCATAAAACTTGCTAAATGAATTTTGGCTCCGGAGCAGGACAGAATTTCCAACCGTTTCCGAAATGGTCCCGAACACCCTTCTGCCATTTTGTACTGTGTATTTATGTGACAGTGTTCAACACTGACAATTATAAAATCAAAATATTAATCAGATCCAAGAGACACCAAAGATGCTCTTCCCCCTGCGGTATCGAACACACACCAAAACTCAATTTCTTATGCACATCCATTTCACGAGAATGCAAATTTTACGCTTATCTTCGACAAATAGTAAAAAGTGCGTGTGTACTAAAGAATCGTTTTAAAGCAAATTTCTTGGGGGCTGGAGACGAGGCACAGTGATTAGGAGGAGCGTGTGCACTCTCTCAGAGGAACCGGTTTGATCCCCATTTCTCACGTCAGCCTCTTCACAATCACCCGGACGTCAGGCTCCATGGAGCTCCAGGGTGAGCTGATGCCTCTGGCCTGGGGTGGAGTGGCAGGCGAATGCTCTCTAGTCCACACACACATAAACCTTTATAAGCGAAAGTCTTTAAGATTTACTGCCAGTGACACCTGATTTGTATACCTAGTTTATGTGAGAGGAGGAAGGGATCAGTGCAGAAACAGTTTAAGAATCTCTGGCCTCGACGAGAGACAAAGGCTGTCACCTCGGTCACTAGCGGCCGTGGCTACCAGACAGAGCCACTTGTGCCTCATTCCGGGTTCCTCTGGCTGCGTCTCCATGTGTGAGACAGAAAGGCCAATGGGCAGAAAAGGCCGACTAACTGATGGGACACCACATGCTGGCTTATGAAGTGACAAGGTCAGCAGAGACTCCCATTTCTCTGATTCGTTCCTCGGCCACTCATTTTTTTGACATCTGCCGGCAAAGCTAAGCTCCCGGGGAAGCAGTCCAGGCGGTCGGTAGCTACCACCACCGTGTCGCCATCTCCGTACCTGACATGCATTTGGCATAGCGTGGCTTTGGCTGCTATAGAAACACAATGATTTGATTTAGGCGTGTGTATGTGTGTGTGTGAGAGAGGGGGGGGGAGAGGCCTGTGACATGAACCAGCAGCTGCCTGACTCTGCACAATCCAGATTAGTAGTTAGGCGAGCCGATGTCGAAATTACTAAACTCTTACCTGAACCACACCCGCCACGCCTGAGAAAATCAACAGTGCTCTGTAGTGCCAATAGAGTCAGGCACCGCATCATAGCAGCCATTATTGTTTGAACAGGGCCTCAGAGGGATGAGGCGGTGGGACAAGAAGAGACTATTTCCCACAATGCAATCATTCGGTTTTGTTCTGAAAATTAATAGGGCAACTCCATATTTTCCATGAATTATCCTCTTTTGAACCTGGAGCCGTGTTCAAGAGACTGCAGATGGCAGCTGCTGGACTTTCGCATATTTTAAGGGCTAACTATAGTAACTCGAGCTAGAATGAGGAAGACTGCTTTCTATTCTTTAAAATTTGCTGATACTCATTTGGCCAACAAATAATGCTTGTGAGGTAAGAGCCTATATTTAAAGGTCTACGTATTCCCGTTATCATGCCTCCTTACCCACACCCACTAAAAAGAGAGAGATAATCAAAATCTGCCCTGCTTAATGTGCAGATGTCAACTCCTTGAATTATGAAATATGCAACCCACAAAAATCTAACGCTTTACTTTCAGTTTGCTTAGTAATCTAAGACCAATTATGTCTGGTGTTATATTATTAATGGATAGTATCAAAATAAAATCCATTCATTTCAATTACTGTCTTGGCAAGCACCATGTAGCTTCGTCTAAGGAGCGGGGCCAGAGGGTGAACATTAAGCCGGCTGGATTCTGAGAGGTGTTTCAGGACATCCCAACCCCAGTGCCAGCCCTGCTAGCTAGAGCTGCTAGCGCTCTTTATTCAGTTTGCATTGAGAGTCCCCATTAAGATGGTATTTGAAGACAGGGAGACATGCGAGCCAGACCAACTGCTGAAATAAGCCTACACAGCTTCTTTACAAAATGCAGCTCAGTTTGGCCACCGCCAGTTGATTTCATTTACAGTGTGGATACGTCTTGGATGTCACTTTATACAAAGGGTGATTGACAATTCATTACATCTAGAGCGGCAACAGCCTAAAAATTTTCAACTTGAGTTTTATGACAATTCAGTCAATAAAAAGAAAAATTAATATTGGGTCTAAATCAATTTTGATGATGTGTCTAATAGTCAAATAGAGAGTCTCTATTTGGTTACCACTCACATAGCAATTACTGTGTCAGGTACTATTCCATCTGCTTTTCAGGAATTCACTCAGAATCCCCACCTCACTCCATGCAGAAAGCAATCCCTCCCTCCCCATCTGATGACAGAGAAGACAGGGTCACAGGAGGGTAAGTGCCCTGCCAAAGCTACGTGGCATGTAAGTCACCAGGTGGGTGGTTCTGTTACATCCTGCCCTTCAGTATGTCCCCACCCTCGCCAACATTTAATCTTGGCAGGCAGTTCTTCATTCGACAGAGCTGATATACACAAAGTGAACTGGGATGCCCTGAACCCTGAAACCCTTCCTGCCCCTGAGAGATACCCAGAGCCAGCCTCCTTTGCTTGTCAAGGTTGTAACCATGGCAAGGGGAACAAGCCAAGCTGCCACCCTTCTGTAGCTGATCCCAGGCTAGGTGCAGCTTGGCACACCCTCCAAGAGAAATCACGCAGATTTCTGGGAGGCAAGGAAGGATGCTCCTCTAACTCCAGAGAACACCAGTCACTCTGAGGAAGTCAAGCCATTACTGAATTCATTGAAGCTCCAATTTAAGTAGCCTTGCTGGCTTTTGGTAAGAATTCCTCCATCACAGATCTGGGGGTGAGCTATGCATGAGGGCACAGGGTTGGTCTATGAACCTAGGCCACCTCTGAGATTATACTTCATTCACTGTATGTCTCACTCAATGCTGGCCAGATCCCAAGCCCTGAGTAAGGCTCGGCCAGGACAGAGTCCCTGAGGCCTCCTATAAAGAGCTGAGATAGTCTTATCTTCCAAACAACTCAGGGCATCAATCGGTTGGCAGATTAAGCGCCTTAGTTTGAAGAGAGGCACCCTTTCCCCTGGTCCTTCTGGTCCTCAACATTCTCCCATGACCAGGAGAACTAGCTCCTGTCATCCTGCCTACTACAGATTTAGGAAGTCATTGATGGTCTGGAATCAAGCCACTGCAGAAACCTAGTCTCTAACCCAAGACCCCACCTCCTGGACACCTGTCTGCCTTCTTATGCTCAAGTCTGCATTCTGTCCTAGATCATGTTTGTGCTTGTCAGTGCTGCCGCCTCTCCGTGCAAACCCCAGGACCCTGGCAGTGTAAAACAGGCTGTGTCTGTGCTCTTTCTGAACTTACGATGCCAGCGTTATGACAAAGTAGGATGATGTAACATCACAAATGCCATGTTGCTTTTTGAAGAAAGTTGAAAAGCCATGACTAAAACCATAAGTTATTACGGAAAGCCTAAAACTAGCGTGAATTCATTTTTTAAAAAAGTCTGCCCTCATCCCAAGACCACACACCAACATGTATATCATTTACTGTGCAGGGGCGGTGGTCAGAGTCTTCCACAGGTGCTGATGGGCTTAAGATTAGTCTTGTCTATTCCTGTGACCGACTCTTTCAGGATGAGTGGGAACTTGGGCCGCCGGGGACACTGCTCATCAGCTCTCTTTCTCTCTTGACCTCTTTTCCAGAACATGGGAACATTACCAGGCCAGTCACTATGGATTAGTCACACGCAAATGGCTTAGAAATTATAAGGATGACTTGGTGGAGCCTCAAAGAGAGCAATCAGGTCTGGGGCCCTGGAGGCACCTGCATCTGCTTGAGACGAGTGAGTTAGACTGTATTTTACACCACGCTCTGTTGACGGTCAACAAAGAGACATCGAATGGGGGACCCCAGAGTCCTCCCGGTCTCTTCTGTGTCTCTACCCAATGTTGGGGAGAGGAGGCACATACCAAGCCCATCCTGAAACAGGGGCTACATTATAATTTCTGCCGAAAGATTTAGACTCTAGATAGCCCAGAGAGCCCCTAAAATACCAACCTAAAGAAGATAAGCACGTAACTGTACCAGGCAAACTTGGTAGCACAACAGAGCCAAGTGGAATTGCATTTTAAGTTTTCCTTACATTTATTTAATTGCTGTGTGTGCTGTTGGTGTGTGTGTGTGTGTGTAAAAGTCAGAGAACAGAGTCTGTTCTCTCTTTCCACATGTGGATCTTGGGGCTCAAACTCAGGCCATCAGCAAGCACCTTTAACCACTGAGCCATCTCACCAGCCCTAAGTTGCATTTTCTATTAACTATGCACTCTCTCTCTATTTCCCAGCAATTAATGAACTGGATACCTAAATTATTCCATGTGCAATGCATGAATTGATGACATTCATCTTGGAACTGAAGTTTTGTACATTCACCTTATGGCTTCTCATCAGCCCTGTCCATCCAACCTTCAGATAACTCCTCTTAAATATGTCCTTTTTATCTGCTGGTTTTCCACAATAGTTGATGTTCCCTGCCTTAGGGTTATGCATTACGAGGCAACACACCTCAGGAGAGAGGCTTTCTTGAAGTACCTAATTTCATTTGGAAGAATAACGGTAAGTTCACATAAGCAACACGAGAGGGCGGGTCCTGCAGAGAATGGACACCTCTGGAGACAGGGTGCACACTCGGGGGAAGGTTTGTGAAATCTCAGCTATTCAATGCCAGTCCCTGGAACAGACCATTAAGTCAAACAGACCATAACCACATGAGGTCACAGTAAAGAAATAGGTCCTGCAAGTCCTTAGCAGAGGGAAAAGCATGCTGAGTGACCCAGCCTCTTCCTCCTCTGCTCACCTGCTGAGCAGTCAGAGAAATCAAAGTCCTGACTGCCCAGTTCAGCAAGCTGCTCCCTCTCTGGGAGGGAGAAAGAAAGAGCCTTTCTGGAATTAACAAAAACTGGTGACCTCAGAATTCTAAGAGGGAAAATAAAGCCACTGGGACAACATTATTAGGAAAGTTAACCCCTCTTATCCAACAGACTCTTTCCAATGGACCTTTGGTTCGGGCTGTGCGGTCTTTCTTAGAAGAGGGAGGTGTTGGTTCCCATGCTGGAAGAAAGCAAGCGTGGTCTTCTCAGGCAACTGCAACAGGAAGTGACCAGGTTCTGCAGGGCAGAGGGGTTCAACAGTTTGCTGGAGAGGTGCTGGGGCTCTGATGCCCACAGAAGCCCTATTCTTTTCGCTGCCCATTTGCTTTCCACACCAGTGTCCATACCAGAACCTGTCCTCAGACTCAGGAACTAGAGCAGACACTGGCCGGTACCAGGGATGAGAACAGACTGTTAAAATTCTCCCCTGCTTCACCAGTGGCTGGTGGGTGGGAAAATAACTTGGGGGCTTTCTGGAACAGTCCGGATGTCTTCTTCATGCCCCCCTTTCCTCCTTAGGAAATGGGGAGGGGTTTGCAGTGCGTGTTTTCGGCTTTTACCCCATTTCTGTATAAGGTGCATTATAAGGGGGTGGATTTGGGCACCTCCTGGGCCGGGGCGGGGGGTGGGGGGTGGGAGGGTGTATCTGATACAATTCTTGGCGCACAGGCTTGCAACAGATTTCTTAACACAACGGACTAAAGCTACTGGCTCTGTTTCCCCCTCTCGGAAACCTCGGTGGAAGCGACACCTAGAGGGAAGCGGAGGGGAGACCGCTGAAGCGCTATTCATCAGTGTCAGGGGACAGTTATCTGGAGGGAAGTCCTCCGGGCAGTGCGAGGCGGACCAGCTCCGGGAGAAAATGCAGGCCTAGTCGGGGATCCAGACGAGGGACCTCTGAGCAGACCAACGCACAGCACAGATGCTGGCCAAATTCAAGAGCTCTACCGACTGTCCTCAGTCCGTTTCTTCCCTCGCAAGAGTTTCAGGACACGGAGTCCTCAGGTGGCAGGCATGGGGGAAGCCGAGTGGGACATGGCTGTGTCAGTTACAGGGTGCTCAAAGCCTCGTGCTGCAGTGGCACCCAAACTCTGGGCAACCATGCGCCCGAAGAGCAGCACTCTGCCTGCGCTCTCCCCTCTGAAACTTGGAAACGGTCTCTCTTCTTTCCGTGGGGCAAGGGGTCGGGGCCAGCTCACTCAACACAACCACAACCGCTCTTAGCACCAAGTCCCCCAACCTGAATGTCCCCGGAACGAACTGCCCCCCAGACACTTTCCAGTGTCACAGCAGCCGCTCGTGGGCAGCAGCTGTGGCCTCGCACGATGAGAGCCACAAGGTGCCTAGGGCAGGTTTCTGCCCGGACGCCCTCTCCTCGATCTCCCCACACCGAGGACCGCGGGGGTGATGAGGGCCAGGAGAGGCGCAGCTCATCTTTTGGCTGCGACAAGGGGACGCAAGTTTCCCCCACAAAGCGTAGGGGAAGAGAGTGCTGAGGATGGTCCCTACGCGCTCCAGGTTCCAGCCAAGGGCACGGGTCCGAACCAGGGTCTATCGCTCGCCGAGGTTCGCCTGAGGCCGTGCGGGGGTTCAGAACCCAAGAGCGGCGCCTGCAGGGTCTCGGTGCGGATCGCGAGCTTCGGGCTCAGCCGGAGCTGCTCTGCGCGGCGCCCCGCGCGCCCGTAAGGCTGGCTCCGTTCCCCAACGCTGATCCCGGGGTGTCATGCCCAAGGTACAACTCCCCCCCCCCAGCTTTAGCCTCCGGTCTTAGCGCAGCCGGGGTGGCCCTGCAGAGCCCCGGCCCTGAGGTCCCGTGCCCGCGGCCGGGCGCGCAAACTTGGCTCTCCAGCCTTGGGCAGCGAGGACCGGCGGACGCCCGCACCGGGCCCTGCAGCGAGCTGCGGAGCTGCGGGCATCGGGACACCGGGCGGGGAGGAGCGGGACGGGGCCGGCTGGTGGGTGGTGGCGCGTCTCGGACACCCGCCTCTGCTCCCGAGCTGCCGCGACCCGCTTACCTCCGGCGGCCGGGGCCGAGGGGGAAGAGACCAGGTGGCCGGACTCGGCTGGAAGGGAGGGAGCGCCCCGTGGCGGCGACAGCGGCGGCGACCCGGACCCCGTGGCCCCCGGCTGGGTCGTCTTTCGGCGGTCGGCTGGTTCCCCCACCCCGGCGCGCTGGAGACAGGCTTGAGCTCCGGCCCCCCGAACCTCCGCCGCCCGCCGCTGTGCCACCGCTAGCGCGGCTGCCCTATTTCTGCCGCCGGGACCGGAGCCCGTGACGTCACCCTCCGGGCCCCGCCTGCCCAATCGCCGCCACCTGTGCTCGCCGCCCGCCCGCCCGCCAGCCCGAGGGGCAGACCCCGGCCGGCAGGTGGAGAGCAGCCGGGCGCGCACGAGGGGCGCTAGGGTTCCCCGCGCCCTGCAGCACCTGGGCAGGGCGGCGCTCTCCCCCTGGCTCCTGGGAAGCTCAGCAGGTGACAAGCCCCTGTCTCGGTTTCCCTACTCACCTCTCCTCCCCTCTGAGCTCTTTCCTCCACCCCCCCCCCCCCCCCCCCGCCCCCCCCCCCCCCCCCCCAAAGGTTTGTGCTTTGCTCAAAGCGCACGGTTGTTCTCAGTCAGCAGCCATTTCTCGGAAGGCTTAGCCGGTCAGTACACTGCACCAAGAGAGGCGTCCCTGGGGCAAAATTCTTGGGGACGCTCCTCCCTGCCTCGAGAACCAAACTACCTGTGAAAGAGCAAAGTTTTCGTTACTCCCAACTAGAGATGCTTATAAGATTCCCAGGTGACATTTGCCAAGCCTGACCCAGGTGAGCCGGGAACGTGTCCTGTTACTAAAACAAGACATTTTCCCTATCCTGAGGCCAAGACGCTGGCTTCCTGCCCCCCCCCCTCTCTCTCTCTCTCTCTCTCTCTCTCTCTCTCTCTCTCTCTCTCGGCATTTCAGATAAGTTGCAAACGCCTTTGTCACTCTCGATCTAACCTCACACCTGAGAAAGAAGCAGGGCCTGGCAGAGGTGGCCAGAGCCTCTCCGAGGGTCCTGCCCCCTGCTATGTTGTGTGACTGGCCTTTCTGTTCTGCCTGTGCCTTTGGGAATCTCCTGATTCCCAAAGAGAGCGCAACAGGGCTTTTCTGAAGCTAAGGTTAGTTAAATATAAAAGAAAGTGTGGAAATTCTAACGGGTGGGCTCATGGAGTCTGTCCTTCCACTGAGCCCCTTGAATACAAGCCAGTGGGCTGGCTGCTGGAGATACTTGCGTGAGTAGGCGAACACAACCTTTCTGGCTCCGGTTTTTTGGTCTGGGATCTAGCCCTCCTTCTACCACGGTCCAATGAGTGGTACAGCTCAGACCTAGTTGTAGCTGCTTCCCAATTGCCAAACGAGGTGATTTCCAGGTCTGGTTCAGCTGCGGCTTCCCTTGTGAGCACCAAGATTTGCACTCAGATATAAAAGAGGCAGCGTTATTCTCTGTGCCCTGGGGCTGCGGCCAGCACGATGCTCTCTGTTATTTGACCATGATTTTCTGCCAGCACCATCCATGAATGAATCTCCGAGGCTGGCTAGAGGCTGGCTTCTCCAAGTAAATCTGGGATCCGGGAGGTTTAGCAATGTCCATCTTGAGGAAGAGAAAGGAGGAGCCCTAACAGGTGGCAGGGGCTGTGGAAGTGATGTTGCCCCAAGCTCCAAAACTTGCATATTCAGTCAGCTCTCCCAGCTGAGGTGAGGAGAGATGCAGAGCCCTCTTTTCTAAGCACCAAGTCTCTGAGGGAGCCCAGTAACCACATGATAGTATTCCAGACAGGAGCGTGGCACTTTGTTTCTGTTTTCTAATAACGAGAGGTCATGTATAGTAAGGTAAGGCCTGCAGACTGACCGAGATCAGAAATAACGAGCTTTAATGTTTGGAACAGCGCCGGGCTTCTTCATGCCTCCCGAGGAAGGAGAAGGAGAATGGAACCGCCATAAAACCAGATGCGCCGATTACTCCCTAAGAGCTGATGCCGACCTCCACAGCGAGCCATTGTGACCACTGGGCGGAAAACCAGAGTTGGGTGATGAGTCACCTTGGAGTAAAAGGAGGTGAGGTGTGAAGGTTGAAGTGAAACAAGCCTCTGGGAGGCAGCATCCGGTGCTCTGCTTCGGCATCTCTCCCAATCGCCTTGTGCTTTCATCTTCTAGCTTCTTGGCTTTACTAGCACACCGCAGGTTGGGAAGGAGGCTAGGTCTTCCACAGGGACTTTCAGAATTTGCTTGCATCTTTGTTTCAGAAGCTGCAAGCAAACTGCTTCTCGTTAGCTAACTAGGGTTCTTAGGAAAGTTTTGTGTTTTCTTTCTAAGGTAAATTTTGGATTGCATACAATGCAGTAAGTTTTACCTCACCAGCCCTCAGCCTTAGTTGCCGGTGAGTGTTTCAGCTAGACAGATTCAGACATACAAAAGGAAGCAGTTAATATTCTTCTGCTCTACAAGGTCAAGACGTTGAAGCATCCTTTGTTTTTGATATGTCTTGAGACAGGTTCTCACTACGTAGCCCAGGCTAACAGTGACTTTTTTTCTTCTTCTTTACTCTACGAGTTTTAAAAAAGATTTCTTTTTAATTATGCATATGTGTGTGGGGAGGTATACATGTGTGCGCAGATGCCCAAGAAGGTCAGAAGAGGGCATCAGGTTCCCCCCAGGAGCTGGAGTTTCAGGTGATTGTGAGCCACCAGACTCGCTTGCTAGGAACCGAACTCGGCGAGAGCTGTCCTGATTCTTAAGCACTGAGCCATCTCTGCAGCCTCGACCTCGCCATTTTAAGTCTCCCTCCTGCTTCTCCTTACCAAACCCACAGCCTATAACGAGAAGTTGAACAGTGTCCGTTGCCTTTAGTTTCTTTCAGGTTACCCAGGAGACCAGGGCATGCCCCATTTCCTCCAGACCGATTCCAAACCAGCCCCATTTTTAAGTGGCTGTGGGTAAGGTAGACAGACAGGGAAGCCACATGGCAACCTCCTTCCTTACATTCCTATCAATATCTGTAGCTCCCTCCCCGCCGTCCTCCCAGTGTGATTTTTCTTCTGTTGTATGCTACATCCTTTAAGATGTCCTCTCTCATGTTAAAGCTCAGGGCGCATTTTTCCCTGGAACTGGAGTTGCAGGTGGTTGTGAGCCACCATGTGGGCGCTGGGAATCGAACCTTGGTCCTCTGGAGGAGTAGTCAATGCTCTTAACCGCGGAGCCATCTCTCCAGCCCTGGACATGAAGTTCTAAGGCCATTTTTCCACTCAAAATGTCCATGCCTTTACCACACCAGCTGATAGGTCTCTAACTCAGGAGCAAATGACTGACTGAGGTACCTATTTAGCTTATCAAAATGGGTGCTGGCTGACAGGTCATGCCCGTTAGAAAGTCATCCTGGCTGTCATACTCCACCCCTACCCTCAACCTCTCCAGCCCCTGAGTCACCTCTCTTCCCCCAGCTTCTCTTCCCCATATAACCTAGCCATTTTGGCTGTGTGGCTCCTTGGCCTCTTGGCTCCTGGTTCCCCCTTTCTTTCTCTCTTGCTCCCCACCACCCCCTTGCTCAGTCTGGACCATTCCAGATGACTCTGGCTGTTTTCTCCCTCATATCTACAATAAGCCTTCCCCTCCACCGTACCTGGGTACATTCACAACCTCATTTTTTTTTCACTCCCTAGTGAATGCGTGTGTGTGTGTGTGTGGTGGGTGTGTGTGCACATACATGTGCATGTTTGTGCATGCATGTGTGTGGTGTGAGGTTCACTGTTGAGTGTCTTCCTTGTTGTTTTTGCAACAGGATCTCTCACAGAACATGGACCTTGTATTTCCCTTACACTGAATAAACAGCAAATCCCCAGGATCCTCGTAGCTCTTGCTCCCAGGAGTGGGCTAATAGGGTCATGTCTCCATGCTCTGCTTTTCTGTGTGTGTGCTGGGAATTAAAACGTGGGTCCCCAGTGCTTGTGCAGCAGGCATTTGGCTTACTGAGCCCTCTTTCCCACTTCAGGCAGCTACTTAAAGCATTGGTTTATGGAGAAGAGCAGCATAAAGGTAAGTATGTCAGGGGACATCAGTGACTGAGGAAATTTCAAGGCTAATGAAGGAGGGTGGGGGAAGAATTTCAATTCAGAAGTCAGGAAGAATGAGAAGATGCCATGAAGAAAAGGACATTGTAGGCACCAAAAGATGGCGGAAGATAAGCAGTGAAGCCCTTCTCCATGAGTGCTCCAGAAACAAAGGCCCCATCGACTCTCAGGGGGGAGATTTATGACACAAGGAACCGAAGAAAGGCTCTAGTAATAAGAGGAAATGGAGTTTACTACTCTGAGAATTTAGGGCACATCATATTTTAAAATCAAAATGAAAAGATCAGGCCTCCATGCAACTAAGTATCCCAGCCTGCTGAGGTCAGAGGAGAAGGAAGACAGAAGAGCCTAGAAGGAAAACAAAGAACAGAGGGCCAACCGCCTCTCTAAAAATGAAAATACGAACTCAAACATGTGTCACTAATAGGGTTCTCCTCAATAAAACATTGGTGCCCACCAGTAGCCTTCATGCCATTTGGGAGGTCAGAGAAAAAAAGTCCTCTCTTCACAGGGATTTGGAGCAGAAAGCTGAGTAGCTAGGGAGGGTGTGAGTGCTTCCAGCAGCAGACCATCCAGACAGAAGGCCCAGAACACCAATGGGGATGGACTTGAGACCAGATCGACCAGAGGGGCTAAGCCATGGGCCCAGCTGAAAGGGAAAAGAAAGAGATGTCAGCAACAGATGTGAGTTCTGATCATAGGTGTCACAGGAAGTGAGGGAGGCTTCTGAACAAGAAAATGGCATGATTTATGGTGTATCTTTAAAAAGCCGTTCCAACTGTAGTGTAGACAAGGAAAGAGCAGATGGTGGCAGATAAGAAGAAAAAAGGGCCAGATAGCAAGCTGCAAAGAGAAGCAAAGTCCTGCCTAGCACACCATTATCATTCTTGCCATCATATCAGCATATAGTATGCCAAAGTAATTACATATCATAATTATTCATGGACTCCAGCCCTGAACCTAAACTCCAACCGTCACCTCAAACACCAAGCCTAAGCCTATCAACTCTCAGCCGAAACCCTACCCCAACCCTAAATACCAGCTTTAATGGTAACACTTATGCCTAACCAAAACCACCAA